GATTCCACCATCAGCGGCACGTTTCTCCCGCAGTAAGTCAGGAGTTATACCCAGTTCGACAATATTGATTTGTCTCCTTGCCACAGACATAACTTCTCCAAGACCGACTGTCGCTCCCTCTTTCACGCATATAGAAATCGCTGCGGAAGTAGGAACTTTCGGCAATTTAACCCGCTGTTTTTTCTGCGTCAAATTGATCTGTGTCTGAGGAGATAAATTAACTGGTTGTGGTGCTTTCGCTCTTTTAGCCTTTCGACCTACAACTAGCGACCAAGTTTCCTGGGAAGACATATTCCCAGTGTGTTTATTCGGTACCGATACAGTGGGTGTAGATACCGCTGGCGACATTGTTACAACTGGTATAGCTACTTGGCTTTTCTTTATTTTCTTTTTCTTTTTCTTTTTCTTCTTATCGGCTTTCGCCCCCGTCTGAACTGGAGGAGAAACCACAATTGTCCTAGCATCTGAGGCGAGAGCCGGGCGTAGCCTCCTCTCTGGCAACAACCTATCTTCTAGAGCAGCTAATTTCGCGTCCATCATACCACCGATTTCTATGGCAATGGAACGTCGGAGCTGAGCCACGTCATCCGATGCAAAACCATCTAGTCCTAATAAAGCTGACGCTTGCATCTCTGATTTTCCTCCCTGCTGAGAGAGCGTGTTAAGCTGGTTTTTTAGCTCTACAACCGCTTCTTTCAGGCTAGCTATTTGTGCTCGCAGATCTGCGTTCTCCTTGGTTAGCTTCTCCAAGGAGTCTTTATCCGAGCCAGGCAAATTCACTATTGAAGCCTGGTCAGATGTAATTGTCGTCCGAGTACGCTTACGTGCGCGTGTCGTTATTGATACCGACTTCTGGGAGACAACGGACATTTGCGAGCAGTCTGACTCACCACTGTCACTTGTTGCACCGCCCATTGGTGTAGCTGGTCGTTTAAAATATGACCGAGTCCTCATCCCTTTTGAACTAGGACTTGAACTGTCCTTGCTCGAGTTTTCCTTTTCCACCTTCTTATCATCATTTTGAAGTTTTGATTTATTTAATTCCATATAAGTCCCACGAGTATGGGGGAAGACAAGGTCCGCCTAGGGGGTGCCCCCTGTCCCTAGGTAAGTGTACATTTATATATCCAACTAGAGGGTCCACAGGTACCCTAGCTGGGGGTGCGCTCACGACTGATACCACTCCTCAGCCATACATACCCTCGCCGCGCACCAGAACTTAGTATTGGAGGAATTTTTTATAGAGGTCATCTTCCTCGCGGTCCGGGCGGTTAAGCCAAGACCCTCGTCCCGTTCCAAGTCATGAAACATGACCATGATCTCTTCCCGGATTACGATCTCGACGGTTGCATCAGGAATAGTTGTTCCGATGCTACTCGTTGGCAGGGTCAGTGCACAACAAGTACCGTCCTCCCTCATCCTACATGTCCTCTGCTTCAGCAGAGAAACAGGCGGATGACCGACTACCACCCAGTATAGGGTTTCTTCCAAAGGTAGGGCATCTGCTCGCAGAATTCCTTCCCTTAAGTAGAGTTTAAGTCAAAACCCTACAACCATTCCCGAACCCGACTCGGTTCTCTCTCATCCCGTCCAGAAGTTAGCTCCAGGAAGCAGTGTCACCATCTGCCTCCTGTATCCAGGGCGCACCACGGGGAGGTCTTCTGGCACCGCGCCCCAGACAAGTGTTACCTACTACACGCTTAAAGATTTTTTTTTTTGATGATAAATGTTTCTGTTAATCTATGTTTTGATGTTATATTATAATTATTTTTGTGTCATTTGTGTTGCGACAAATTAAAAAAAAGACAACATTGCCCCACACTAGTATTTTCTCCTGTGTCGTGGGTGCGTTTATAAACATACAAGTTCATATATACATGACACCCAGACCCGAAACAACAATCTGTGGGTCACACAAAGAGTTGTTACGTGCGGGAATCGAACACGTCGCGCGGCAGCCAGTTGCCCAGCTACCGCGCCAACCGTGCAATCGGAATGATTATGTGATGGTTTTTGATTATAATTTTTTTTATTTATACTAGTAATAGGTACCTATGGTTTTTTCACAATGATGATTATATAATGCTACTAGCATCTGCCGGCAACGCTTTCATATTTCTTTCTGTGTAAGAACATTCTCCTAACAATAATAAATACAACAAAACAGAATTAGTGAAATCGGTCCAGTCATTCACGCATGATACCGTGACCAAGGGTAAAAGGGATTTATTTTTATATATCTATAGATTTTCGATTAATGTGTCTCAATTTCATATAATTATAGAAATGTTATTGTATTACTTAATAAACTATAGATACTGTTCAACACAAGTTTCATAATAGATTGAACAATAGTTGCTTCTTAAAAAACTATACACATAATACAGAATCCTACAAGAAACTCCACTCCATCATGTCTAAATTCATTGCTATCGATTGGCAAAGTTTCTGATTGTTTGTGTCTGATTTACAAAATATTTCAAACTTAATTTTATTCATTTATTTAGTTTTCCGACAGACTCACAGTCACGCTGCTGCTCTGCAGCTACTGCTATAATAGCAGCATGACAGTCGCCATGTCAGGTGTAGTGGAATAATGCACATAAATACAGCATCTAGTATGGCTTGATAGTAGTCGAGTTGCCCATCAAATAGTTACGTGTATAAGTCGAAAAATATAATAATTAATTTAGTATGTCTCACGAAAGTTGCAATATAACAATGTTATCAATACATAGTATAAAACGAAGTCGCTTTCGCTGTATGTCCGTATGTATGCTTAGATCTTTAAAACTACGCAACGGATTTTAATGCGGCTTTTTTTAATAGATAGAGTGATTCTTAAGGAAGGTTTGTATGTATAGTACATGCATATTGCACCCGTGCGAAGCCGGGGCGGGTCGCTAGTTTAATATACTTCAAACTTTTTCTATTTAACTCAAACGGCTAGAAGTCATTGCCACCTAGTTGAAACGACTTAAAACACCAGACAAAATTAATGTAAAAATATATATTTATTGCTATAGGGAACAAGAGATTGACATACAAAAGCGAAAAATAAATTGCAACGCTAAAAAGCATTTAGTTTTTGATATTTTTAAGCTACGCCATGTTCCAGCTGACATGGCTTTAAGTTAACAAGAGTAACGAGAAAAATTGAGTGACGTAAAATATTTTGTTGTTTTTTTCTCAGTTAAAAGAAAAACCAAATGCCATTGTTATTGTTGCTTTTCAATAAAACAATTCAAGCAAATTGGTTGGATTGGATCTTATCTTTAAGTTATTTTCTTTGAAGATAACTTAAAGATGTCACATATGGTCAATGCATTGCATAATAGCCTGCCAATCTTAGAGAAATAACATTTCATTATTATACTCTTGTCTAGTTTTATTACTTATTTTTTGTATGATTTAAAGTGATATTTTAATACATATATTAAAATCAGTGAGCTCTGCACACAGAGCTCAGTGATTTCACAGTTCGTATATTATGTGAAGATATATATATTTGTAAATTGTGAGTATTTTGTTACGAAAGGTCAGCAAAAGAATAACCCTAAAATTTTTAGTAGTATTCGAACGGAAGTACAAAGGGAAAGAGCTATTTTTAGTAAAAATTTAAATATCTATTCACAAAATCACTGTGAGCCTTACAAAATTCAGCCCGTGAAAAATGTGATATCGACGGTTGAATCTTTGTTATAAATAGCAGCGAAGAACAGGCGTAACAAAAAATGTGTTTTCGCACGCTCTGGGGAAACACGGCTGAAATAACCTTAAAACGATAAACAAAAAATCTTTTAAATCACCGTTTTATCTACGATCTAGGTTTGAAAGGTTTTTGAGTGCTTTCATACCTGTAAGACGTTTAAGCTATGAATAATTCTAAACAGATAATGGCTTCGTAAATTACAAGCGAAATTTTCAAACAAGCCCAAAAGAAAAGTACATAAATCAAAGCCTCCAATTAAGGGAATATACGAAACGGGGAGACGCTACCGTTCCGAAAATGCTTTTTATAAAATACACCAAACAATTATCGTGCCTTGAATTGAACTCAAATAGGGGCAGACTAAGGAGAATTTGTGCCTGTATTTCGTCCTAAAAGCCCACCTGGTAGGTGACCACCACTTATCTTTAGAATTGGAACGTAACAGACAATGGTTTTGCGTTCCAATCTCAAAGACAAAGCTGAAATGTTTCGTGTGCCTGTTAGGTGAAAACCAAATTCAATGTCGTTTAGTCTCAAGGTTTTCTCCAAGGCCACGTTTTAATTGGTTTCACGCCTTGCGTACGTATATGGGAAAGGTGTTATAGAGAGTTACGTCATAAAATATTTACTCGTCTTTCAATAGATTTTATCATAACACGAGAAATCAATCAAAGGTCCACTTGGTACCACGAAAATTATCCTTTGAACACAAACAATTGTCGGAATTTGGGCACAAATAGTTTCATCTAAAGGCTTTGTTCGTGGTTAGATGTTCTGTATCCCTGTAAATTTACCTAAACATAGTAAGAACCTGCATAAGTAATTCTCGAAATGATCCTGAAACAATACTACCTGAAGTCTACGGGTCGGCTTGACAGTTTTGAATTACATATGGACATTTCAGACCCCTTACATATTTGTTGTGATTGTCTTGCGGTTTTTAGTTAGAATTAGCTAACCAATTTTGGGTACCGGGCTGTAGAGGTCATGAAATATAAATAGGTAAATATAAATAGGTATTTTGATGCGGTATCCTTATTTATTCTAGGAATGGTCAACGAGATTTTGTATTTGTGAAGTTCGAATATTTTCAGAATACTGAAAGTACGTAATTGTTTCATTTTGTAGTGGGTGGACTTTTTGAAAACCTTTGTGGTGAAATATTTAGTTTCTCGGGTCGGATAAAATTTTATTGAGTTTCCGATAATCCACTTATAACGTCAACTAACACGCGTTGTAATATTTTAACATAACTGTTAATAATAGTAGTTATCACAATAACACTTACTTGAAAATTAAACATCTCGGTCATAATGATGTACGGCATTGGAGAAATCCCGCCAGCGTAGACGGCAAAAAATGTTACGATTGCTATCACTGGCAACCACCCTGGTGTAGAACTTCCTTGGTGCTGAACCAGCATTGTCGTAGCCAGGATTATATGCGACACGACTGCTACTCCAAACGATATGATGATGAGAGGCTGGAAACAAAAAAAAATGAATCATGAGACAAAACAAACCTAAAAAATAAATACTATATATACTATAGAAAACTAAATAGAATATATTAGGTACTAAAATTCAGAATCAAGATATTTTTTTTTTCATTTAAAAAAACGTTGCCCCACTTTAGGATTTCCTCCTGTGTCGTGGGTGCGTTTACAAACATACAAGTTCACATACACATGACACCCAGACTCGAAACAACAATTTGTGGATCATACAAAGTGTTGCGGAATCGGACACGGTGCACGGCAGCCGGTTGCCCAACCACCGCACCAACCGTACAATCATTGTTTGTCAATTGATTTTATATTGAAACATGACGATTTTATTGAGTATATGTTACAAACAAAATGATTGATATCAAACTAATCGAACATAATTATGAAGTGCCGAACTCAATTTACTATTTTTTCACTGTAGAATAAATAGGTACTTATTCCTACTTCTACGAACTTGCAAATATAATAAAACAAAACGATGTCCCAAAGTTTCCATAATAAACGAGACAGGAAAGTCCACTTTGTTTAGTAATTACCTACTTTTCTGTATAAACTTCTGATATGCATCTTTCTAAGAATTTCTGAGTGAGAAAGCTCTCAGCTTTGAAACATTTATTGGTAGAGATATTTTCTTTCCTTTACTTAAAGTTAGCAATAAGTTTTTAATGTTTCGGTAAGTTGGATAACCAAGTATTTTCTTTGACCAGTCTTTTCGGTTCATGACACTTTTTTCAGTTTTCCTAGTTCAACAATGTTTTCATCCGATGTATTTTTTGTATAGTTTTCCTTATCGTATAAGGGTTTTGAATTTCAACCTTACTTATTTGTTGTTATAGTTGCAATTCACTTGTTGCTGATAGATCACAAACATAAGACATTTTAGATGAATACAACTTGCAGTACTCTACATAATTATGTATTTTAAGACTAGACTAATGTTACAGCCATCATTTGTAAAATGCCTAAGTGGTGTCCACAGATCATAATTAAAATTTTTATTTTTTAATTCTGTGCTTTAAATAACTAGAGAGATAATGATTGTTAACACAAGAAAACCACTTTCAAATAACATTAATTATAAAAATCTTTCTCTAAGACGGACCACTATTTTTTACCTTATTATCTTTTAATGAAAGCACATCGTGCAAAACAAAAAATCTGAAACTAATTATAGAAACGAGTCTTGTTAGTACAAAGATATAAACTAATAAAAGATGGAAGATGAACTGGCACCGGTACAGTTAGTAAGAGACAAAATGAAGTTGTCGCTGAGTCCGTAAAGAATTTAATCAAAGCAACAGATGCAGAAAATGACGAGGTTCGTCCAAGAGAGAGGAAATAAGAAATCATGATATTACAGAAAAGACAGATATAAAAACTGTTTATTGATAAATCAAAAATACGAAACGGATGAGCGACAAATTGGTAATAACAGGGATAATGTGACAACGAATTGCTTTGGAATTGCTGCACAATTTATTGAAATTCGTGTTATTTTATATTGACTAGCGGAAGAATTATGCAACAGAATTTTCGGGATGTCAACATTGGCAATCATTAACATGAATAATAGATGATAGGCCGTTGCTGAACTATGGGCCTATCTCTATCTTAAAGGGCATTGCTAAAATCTCCACGCTAGACAGACGGGTTCAAAAGGGTCAGGTTTATCAAAGAGCACAGCAGCCCTGTCTGTCTCAATTGTGTAGCCCCTAAGTCGCCTCTTACAAGTACAACACCCACAAGAAGAGTAGGAGGGGTGAAAATGTACTATTGCCGTCATAACACGACTTCAAGAATTAACAAAGTACAAAAGTGATTTAATTTTAGAAACAAACTGGTCTGGTGTAAAGGTTACAAAAATGGCATCGTCTACTTTGTCCTACCAGCTTGTATCAACTGAGAAAAGCTTGTCTGTCGTATTGGCAATGAGCCAGATATCCCACACTTTTACGTCGTTCGTCTTTTGAACCCAAAATGTTATTTTTACACCGATTTACAAAGTCGATACGGGAAAGGCGGATAGGTTATACCGTACCTACTAGACTTGATCTAGATTCAATTGTTAATGTGAAGTTATACAGTCGTAGGCTGGAATATTTTTTACTAAGCGACACTATACCAAATTTTTTGAGTAGGTATGTGAAGCAAGTAAAAATATAGATTACTTAGATTATTATACTCCAAAGATTAAGTCAAAAATCGTTGGCAGTAGGTACCTAAGTATAAAACAAAAATATACCAATGATAATTAAATTACACATGACTCACACACATAGCACCTCGTGCCATATAAATCCGTTGGTCAAATATTGAATTGAATGTCTAAGAAAATTGAACTAAAAATGTAAATTGAAAGCCTATTTAAGTGAATATTGTAATCCTAAACTAATATTGGCCTCAGTGATACGTAGCTTAAGATCAATGCATATAACCATTGGTCCAGAAACTTAATAACCACAGAGTAAATGTCATTTCTAAAATGACAGAAAAATATATCGTTCAAGTTCTCAAAAAAAGAAATATAATAATAATAATAATTAAATTTATTGCAGAATAATTGCTTCCATAATTTGTTAGTAATAATGTTCTTAGCCTATGTTAGTAATAGCATACTTAATTAAAAATGAAATAAAACAACACAAATTAAATGTATCAGACATTCGCTTTAGCGTGTAGGCCTATACAGTGCGCCATTAGTACAGAGTCCCATCGGACTGCGCACGCGGCCAGGATGGCGCTGGGGCTGCCGCGCACCCGCGCCATTAAAGACGCACTTCGCTTGCGTATGATGGCGTGAAAGCCGTCCACGCGCGCCTCCGCGAACATACCACTGGCGCTACAGTACCGCGGCAGCCCCATCAGCACCCTGAACGCATTATTGTATTGCACACGCAGCGCGTTGTATGTTCTCTGCGTATGTTTGGTCCACAGGCTGCATGTGTAAAAGGTCTGGCAGAAAGCTCTAAACAGTGTGACCTTCACTTGTTCAGTACACCGTGCGAATCTGCGAGCCAACATGTTACAGCGAACAGACAACGCCCTGCGTTCCCTCTCCTCATCCATATCATCCTTAAGGTCCTCGGTGACCCAGTGGCCCAGATACTTGAAGGGGCAATAACAATCACGAACCTCTGTATTGTTGATAGGAGTGAAAAAGAGAGAAAGTCACTCATAATAGTAAATGAGACGTAAATTGCCATATCTAATTATTATTATGAACATTGGACATTAAAACCCAAAAAGTAGTTACTGACTACCTTTTTTGAGGGGGAAATAATCCAATGTTTTCTCTAGCCATGGGTCAGGCGAGACAGTTTCTGACTCTTACCGACTGACTAAAAACTACCCTGTCCCTACTTCTGCGCTTCGACAATCTATTTAGAATAGACACCATTGAAATGATAATAATAATAAATACATAATGCATACAGGGGTAGTCGCCGGTCTGTGCGTCCATTACATTTATATATCAAAGTTGTCTAAAGGGCATCTGCACAGTTGGTTTCGGCCTCGTAGGCCTCCGAAATGACCGGGACCCGGTTGTCCCGTGAATGGTAAAGACATACATAATAATAACAATAGTTTATTTACTACCAAACATACATAGATATAAATACATGATTGCAAATCTTAAATGTAAAGGGCATAAATCTATGCGCAGACAACCCTGTCTCTTACACTAGGGAAACCTGTTATATAAGAGACAGTGAAATGCTAACTTTATTGCGACAATTGTACAGAATTCCAATATACCTAGAACTCAAACTCTACAAAGTTTTAGCCAAAAAATATTATGTAAATTCAAATAATACGTATATAGCACTGAATACGCTTCGTCGGACGTATTTATTAGGGACATTGACAAATTCTCAGTAATAGCAGCACGGTCTAAGGTACTTTATACTCGGAAATTTAATCACTTTCTTTTACATGGAACTCGTTACATATCATGGATGCTATGTAGTTTTGTGATTTGGATAAAGTAAGTCTTTTAATCAACCAACTTGAAGATGCAAACTGCTTCTATTAGAAAAAAAATATAGGGAAAAATATCCTATTGTCATAATACCAATCATAAGAAACCACAAATAAGTCGACAAACTTTTAACTTAAAAAATATCATTTAAATATATCCCTTAATACGAAGGTATACGAACTAAAGCTACACGAAATCAGGCTAATATCCCAAGCGGACTATATGGAGATAGCTGTGGTATTACCGAAATTAAACTTTTGAATGAGAATTTAATATTATCAACGTGAATTACGAATTAACACCGGACCGCAATGGTTGTTGACTAAAAAGGTTTTTTGGGTTGTGAACTAATATACTCATACCTACATTTGTATTTATTTTTAATAGCTTTTATTTACCAACACTGTGGTTTAAATACTTATATTATTATTCACTAACTACTAATAATACTTTAAAACTTGAACCATGCCATTTATTACACAGTGCTGGACTAAACACGAAAAAACGATGATACTATAAAACTCATTAAAAACATTTTAATTTGTATTATTCTTATCGATTTCTAAGCAATTAAAAACAAATTGTGTCAACCACAAAAATAGCTTAGAAAACGTTTAAATTTTATTTAATCGTCCATTATTTGAACCTACCTCAGATATACATACATTTAGAGTTCGAAAGAATTTCCCGAGCAAAGCTGAAAAAATAAAAACCCTACAAATCAGAGCTCAACGAAATCTCCCGCAAGAGAAAAAACAAACGTCCAAATAAAACGCAAAGTAAAGTAAAGGGAAGATTTCTGTTCTAATCCGATCAGAAATAGAGATTAGTCTCGTACAAACACATTTATCAAAATTACTTTGGAATACTTCTTACCTTCCGACCGAACTTTTCCACACAACTCATTGAGATAAACGAGGCAAGGATCATAACTGCGGGGAAACTCAACGTCTGTAGCTCTGGGTTCCACGTTACTCCGGCTGACTTCATAATTGTCGGTGCGTAGTTCAGCACGGCCAGGTTGCCGCTATTCGATCTTATTGTCATCAATATTATGTTTAGCATGCATCCACGCAACCATGCTTTGTTTTGATCTGTAAATTAAATGTTAAGGAATCATTACAGATTTATTCGGACTAGTTTGACGGTATCAGATTTACATGAATCACGATAGTGCAGAATGCTATGTTTTATTTTGCGTTCTATAAATATTTTGTCACTACTAGTAGGTAATATATAAAATACGTACAATTCTATATACTAATTTATATTACAAATCAACTTTTGATTGTCAAGATACTACTTAAAAATAGTTTTAAGCAGACGTAAATAAAGTGTCGCTAAAAATAAAGTGCTTAGAAAATTGAGACCTAATAACTGCTAAAACAGTTCAAGTTTATCCTAATACGACGCGTTAACTTCTACTTATGTAGCACATTTAAGATTTACTAAGAGAATTTCATAAATCTTGACAGGCTAAACGTCTTGTGAAAGCTGTTTAACAAGTGTTTAAAATGTTCAACTACATTTTCAAGTTGATGGACTCATAGCAGTCACGTTAGAGGCTTTAAATAATGTCTAATAACTATTTATTTTTATGTCCATAAAAGCAAATTGGTATTTCAAAATCACTTTAACGATTTGTGTTTTTGTGAAATATAGTTTTGATTAAAAATATGGACGTTTTAAAATACGACTTAGTTTCTTGAATTTACTTTTACAATGACATAGTTATTACATCTATGTCTTTTTCATTAAAAACATTAAAATAACGTTAATTTTAGAAAAACTGTAGAACGCAACTTAGTACGATCATAACCAAAATATATTTAGTTAGATTTTAAATATATACATAGATACGACGGCACGGTTGGTGCGGTGGCTGGGCAACCGGCTGCTGTGCAACGTGTCGCGGGTTCGATTCCCGCACGAAACAACACTTTGTGTGATCCACAAATTGTTTCGGGTCTGGGTGTCATGTGTATGTGAACTTGTATGTTTGTAAATGCACCCACGATTCAGGAGATAATCCTAGTGTGGGGCACCGTATTATAAAAGAAATAAAAAAAAGGAATACAATATCAATTCACTATTACAGGTATTGATAAGGTATCGTCGTATCGACTCCGGCTTCAGCTTTATCGTGATCAAATATTTCATCTCCGACAAATATTAAAAAGGACAGAGGAAACAAACTTGTTACTCACATATACTTTTGAAAGAAATCTTCGGCAGTGAGTTATAAGTGAGTTCTTCATTTTTCATGAAGTCAATTTCTTTCTGTATTCTTTTGTCATTGACATCTAATCGTCTTAGAAACGCTATTGTTTTGGCAGCTTCCTGTAATATCAAACATAGAAATTATTTACTTTGTATTTCGCAAGACTTCTATAACACGATATAGGAAAATTCATATGTAAATCTCGAATGATATTACTAAGTACAGGTCACAGCTGCACGCTTTTCTAGGAAGACAAACATCTTTATCTATCAGATCATAATACAGCCCAAACAGTCACAATTATTGAGCAAACTATTGATGTTAAAGGGTACTATTATGTGATTAGGGATGATCTCAGTAAGGAAAATGTAAATAAGTTTATAGATTGTATTAGTTGCTTAAGTTTTGGTGAAGTTTATGACACGTCAGATACAAATGTAGCATTTGGAAAGTTTCATGACCTGTTGATATTATTTTATAAATTATGTTTTCCGAGTATAAGAGTAAAAAAAAGATACAATTTTAATAAACCAAAATGGATAACAAGAGGAATTAAAACTAGTAGCAAAAATAAGCGGTCATTGCGATTTATCTACTACCTAAATAAAAATAACGAAAATAAAAATAGGTTTAAGACCTATTCTAAAATATTAAAAAAGTGTATGTATAATCTTCAAGCACTATGTAATCAAAGACATATAGCTCAGTCTCATAATAAAGTAAAAGCTACATGGAACGTTGTAAAGCGCAACACGGGTAAAATAAAAGGTAGAGATAGTCTGGATGTTCTTAAATATAGAAACACTATTATTGCGTCTGGCTCAGATATTGCTGATACGTTTAATACATTTTTCGTTGACGTTGCTAATAATGAAGGTTCCAATAATATTGACAATAGTAAAATAAAAATTTCCAATGTAACCTCACATGATAAAAGTATTTTTGTGGAACCTAGTGACGATGTTGAGGTCTGTCAGATAATAAGGAACTTAAAAAACACAAAATCCTGCGGGTTTGATGGTATTTCAACAGATTTAATCAAATGTATATCCCAGTATATATCACCACCACTAGCTCATATCATCAACCTATCTCTTGAACAAGGATGTTTCCCTGATAGGTTAAAAATGTCGTTAATAAAACCGTTACACAAAAAAGGTTCGAAATCTGATGTAAATAACTATAGACCTATAGCATTAACTCTAATCTTGTCGAAGGTATTCGAGAGAATTATGTATAAAAGGGTGCTTAAATATTTAAATAAGTTTAATATTCTAGCAAAGGAGCAGTATGGTTTTCAACAAAATAAATCAACAACGTTAGCTATATATACACTTGTAAGAGCAGTAATGAATAGTATTAACTCTAACACGTCTTCTTGTGCACTACTTCTGGACCTTAGTAAGGCGTTTGATCTAGTAAATCATCCAATATTGATTGAGAAAATGGAAAGATATGGTATCAGAGGTTCAGCTCAAAAATGGTTCGAATCATATTTAAGTAATAGGAAACAGATAACCAGAATTACAAAATTTAATGAGATAAGTAACACATTAGAAATATTTGATTCTAAACCACTCATAAATCGATGCGGTGTACCGCAGGGGAGTATTTTGGGACCATTATTATTCTTAATTTATGTAAATGATTTACCACAAGCAATTAAACATCAGTGTGTTCTATTTGCGGATGACACCACAGTAATCATAGAAACCAAAAATCCACAAAACTATGATACCATTATAAATGAGTCAATTAAAGATATTACTAATTGGTTAGACATTAACAAACTAAGAATAAATGTAACGAAAACGAATGTATTAAAATTTAAAACTTGGAAAAGTAAACACATACATTTAAATATTGCATATGATGGTAAAATGATTGAACAGGTTCACAGTGCAAGGTTTCTAGGGGTTATTCTTGATGAACACCTTACATGGAAAATCCATATAGATAATATTTGTAATAAGATTAATAAGTTTATCTTTGCTTTAAGAAAGGTTAAAGACGTTACATCAAGGTATACGGCTATTCTTGTTTATCATGCGTATGTTTGTTCAATAATTCGTTATGGAATAATTGTTTGGGGAAATTCTACGGATATTTCTAGAGTGTTTATAGCGCAGAAAAAATGCATTCGTGCAATATTTAATTTGAAATGGTCTGAATCCTGTAGGCCTGTATTTCAGTCTAATAAGCTGTTAACTGTCCCGTCCATTTATATTTATGAAATTGCTAAATTCATAAGAACCAATCCTTCGCTTTTTCAAGTTAAAGATAATGTAAATAAGAGAAAAGCAACATGCGTACTTCTTCAAGTGCCTTCGCCTAGATTGGAGTTATTTAGACGGAATTGTGTTTATATGGCTCCTCTAATTTATAATACGTTGCCTAAATCTATAACTGAACTTCCGTATAAGAAATTTTGTAATGTATTAAAGCAATGGCTAATTAAAGAAAATTACTACTCAATCCACGAATTTTTAGAAAAAAACAAATGTAAATCTTTTAGTTTTAAAGAAAGAAATAAATAAGAGCAGTAAGTGTACTTAGTTTATGAACCAAAATTGTAGCCTTCATGTATTTTATTTTAATCTACAGTAAACATCAAATGTAACCAATTTGCATGCCAATAATGGTAAATGTGCTGATCTAATATTGTATGTAACATCTATATCATGTACCACATTGAGCAAATAAAGAATTATTATTATTATTATTATTAT